GTTAGCCCATTTCCATGGGTTCCCAGCATGCTGCTTTGTCCCAAGCACATGCCTGTAATGAGGGCAGTGCCTCTGTCCCACTTCAACCCGGTGTGGGCTTGGGACCACTCCTGAGTCTTGGAGGTAATTGCTGTATTCAGAAAAGGCAAGGGTGGACAGAGGCAGCAGTGATACTCAATGAATCATACAATTTGTGGGTGGAGATGGGACGGAAAGTCTGGGAGAGAGCAAGGGAAAGAGTGACGTCCAAAAAGAAATGTACTCCTTGCCTGACTTACATACCTGTCCATCACCTTTACAATCACGGTAAGAAATGTCCAGACAAGAAAGGAAAGGGCTTCCTGACTTCTGCTAGGCTCGCAGAGCCCAGGCAGCAGCGACCACAGTCCCGTGCAGAACTTCAGAGGATGGGAAGGAGGAAAAGAGGGGCTGGGCACCAGAGTCTCTTAAGTCTTATTTGTAAAGAGCAGCACGATATGCAAATCGGCACAAATCAGAGCATTCAGGTACTTTTCCTGCCAGGTAGCGGCCTCACGTGGCAGCCGCTTGTCTGGAAAGGCTGTGGTACTTTCTAAGGGCCGTGCCACGCTGGGCCTGGGGTCGAGGGACACATCCCTTGATCTTCTGTCACATGTCAGCTTTCCGAGCATTTCCTATACTCACTCCTCCTCAAAGGACATGCCTGTCAAATTAACTAATGTTTTATCCAATTAACAATTTATAAAAGGCTGTCATCTCCCTGCCAGGAGAGCCCATCCTCCCCAGCTGAGGGCCAGGGGCTTTCCAGGGTCCAGACCGAGGCTGGGGAGGCAGGTCAGCAAGCAAGGGTGAACATTTCCAAGTGGCCTTCCCAGCCCTCCTCCCTTGCTCCCACAGACTGTGGGGAGCCTGCCTTCCATCAAGTAGATGGAGGCTGACCCAGCCAGACCTGAGAGCCTTGGGAACAAGCCCAGGACAGACACACGGGCCCCATGCTGCCTCCGGTCTGCAGCCCTGCTCTCTGCCTGGCCTGGGCACAGGGCCGCACGGCCCTCATGCAGACACTCACCTATGTGCCTGGCTTGGTCAGGTCTGGCTCCCTAATGCCTTCAGCCTCATGCATGCCGTTTCTCCTTACTGCTGACTGGTATTCTGTGGCATGCGTGTGCCCATGGTGTGTGTTCACTTACCCACTGTGGAATATTTGTTTATCCCAGGTTTTGCCCATCGTGAATGCAGCTGCTGTGTGCACCGTTGTCCGCATGAGCACGGGTTCTCGGTTCCTACAGTGGGGTGGCTGCGTCACACGGCCCCTTGGACTCTGTGGAGCTCTGGGAAACCGCGGGCTGCTTCTACCTTCCCACAGCTGTGTGTGCGCGCCCCGGTCTCCTCCCACTGATACTCTGTGCTGCCAGTGTGTGCTCTTTTAGCAGCCTGGACAGGTCGGGAATAGAACCCTGTCATGATGCTGATTTGCATTTCCCTAAGGGCTGATGATGCTCCACATCTCTTCAGGAGCCTACCTGCCATCTTCACATCTTCTTAGTAAAGCATCCATCCAAGAATTTTGCCCATTCTTAATTGAGCCTCCTCAGCAGCCAGGGTTGCAGGTGTGAGCCACCATTGCCTGGCTAAGGATTGTGTGTGTGTGTGTGTGTGTGTGTGTGTGTGTCCGGGTCTCAGCTAGGATTACAGTGTGAGCCAGAGGTGCCATGCTGGAGCCTCAGCTCCCCAGATGTAAATTAGACGTAGTAAGAACTTCCCACAACTGGGACTAAGCCAGAGGATTAAATAATTGGCACATGGGGACGCTGCCTGGGTTCCTCTGCAAGATGCCCATTTGCAAACATTCCCGGGAATTTTTTAGTCTTGAAGTAAAGAAGCCTCTCTACACAGCACCAAGTGAAAGGTTTTGAACTGAAGAGTGGCAGATCCACAGAAAATGGCATGCTGGGGGAGCAGGAGGACGGCCACCCTGTGGCCTTGCCCAGGTGGCAGGCAGCCCGCGGTGCACAGCCCGTCCCTGCTGAAGGCAGCAGCCTGGGTAACCGGACGCAGACTGCCCAGGGGACGGAGTCACAGTCGGACATGGACATGGCACAAACAAGGAGCGCTCCTATAAATGTGTGATTAAAAACAAGCCAAGAACATAAACCACACTGAAAGAATATAATCCAAGGCTGTGGCCATACATGGGAACACGTGCTACAAAGCTACTTTGGTAGACTAGAATGGCTAATACAAGATCATGGTGCAGGAGAGGCCCACCAGAGGCCCAGGCCTCCCTGAACACGGAGCAGCCTGCCTCTGCTGAGACAATCAGAAAATGAATGCAAGAATGTGTGTGGCACCCTGGATTTGCCCTGGGAGGATAGACCCCATGGACAGAGCTGAGCCTTGAAATCCAGACCACCAGCTCCAAGACCGCTAGCCCTGGCATTCTCCACGGGCTGTCCAGCTAGGCTCTTGGGGGCTGACCCTCACACAGCATGCTGTGAGTCAAGCAACTGTACTGCTGTATCATCTGCAGCATCAGAGACCCGGGTGAGGTAACCCTTAACCAGCATAGCAACAATGACAGCCGTCCAGTACTGAGGTGCTTAGAGAGAAAGTAGAACTGCCTGGTGATGGGAGACAGAACGGGCATCCTCTCCTTTAAAGGGGCCTGAGCAGAACAGGCATCTCTTTTAAAGGGGCTGAGCAGAATGGGCATCCTCTCCTTTAAAGGGGCCTGAGCAGAACAGGCATCCTCTCTTTTAAAGGGGCCTGAGCAGCTGGGGTTCAGATGGGGAGGACAATGGGAGGGATGAAGCCGAGCAGGGTGCCTGTACTCACATCTGACTTATTGGATTAAAACCCCTTTGCGCAACGACTTAAGTTGTGCTAAATTTTAGAGTCCACTTAACAATAACGTTCAGACTAGCCACTGCTTACTGCTTTCAATCTGCAAGTTCAGCTTTAGGAACTTATGCACGCCAGCGGTGGACGCTATGCCCTGAGGAAGGTCTGGACAGCCAGAGCGGCTCCGTGTACCTCAGAGTGCAGCCTGCCAGCTCACCCCACACCCCAGGAGAGCAGGGAAGGTCTCCCAATGCTGCTGTCTATTTATGGTAGGCCAGCAAGTGGCCAGCACCACACCACGGGGCATGTGGTAGCTACAAGCGTGTTCCGACTCCAGCCTGGATGGAGAGCTGGTCTGACCTGGGGCCAGCCTGGTCAGTGAGAAACACTGGCAGCTGGTCTGGGAACTGCAGGCACTCCAAGCAATAACACGGGGTGAGCCAAGACCCTCTGCTGTCAGACCTCTGCCCACTTACCATCGCGCCTCACTAATTCCTGGAAAAGCTTCTGAGCATTGTTTGTCACAGACTTCAAAGGCCAGGCAAGAGGTAGACCGCTGCAGCTCCCTATCCACCTGCCCTGCTCTGAAAATAACACAGCCTAACGACACTGCTGGTGGCAGGCAGGCCCCTTGGCAGTATACTGGGCATCCCAGGGGACAGCTAGGGAACATGCCACCACAGAGAGCCAAGGGCATGTCCTGAGAGCTTTGTGGAGCAGTTGTCACCCCGGCTGCCCCGGGCATGCAGTGAAGGCCTGCCAAGCCCTGTGGCGGGGCTCGGGGCTCCCTTGCTGCAGAGGAAGCTGACAGGGCTACAGGAACAGCAGAGAGAGGACCAACATCCCTGGAACCCACACCCAAGCCCAGCTCCTGGCACTGGGCTCCCGCCTCTGCCCACACTGCTCACCCCCTTCACGGGCTTTTCAAGCACAAATGCTTAGCTAGAGGCTGCACTACTGTCAGAGAGGGTGCTCAGGAGCCCCTGCCAGGCCTGGCCCGAGGGACCCAGTGTCTGCACCTCCTCCCCAACACACAGGATTGCAAATCACCCGGGGCCACCAGGCCATGCGCCTGCCAGCTTCCCGTCGGGCTTGCAGCTTGCGTGGCACCATGGTACCAGATCAATCCCTCGGGATCTCGTAAGTGTCCCAAATGAGCAAGGCCATGCCTACCCCGCACTTTGTGCCCCCAAACCATGAGATGCGGGGTGTCATAGGACAATGGTCTGCTGGCTCCACTGAGCTCCAACGACCCCAGCCTCCAGTGTCCACACACCACGGGCCTTGTTCCCTCCACGAACCATAGAACAGCCTCACCTCTACTGGACACAGACACAGCATGTCCCCATCTCCCTGGGTAATGGGACTGGCTGTGCTGCATGTGGAGCCCCAGCAGCCTCCCACACAGAGGCGCGTGCACAAGGAAGCACATTGGTGCACAAGGGCCATGCTCTCCACAGGTCACAAGGACTTGGGTGACCAAAAATAAAACAGAATGAGACACAGAGCAGTATGTGAAGAGCACAGAACCGGCTGAGGGCAGAGCTTGCAAAGTGGTCTCCCGGGCAGAACCAAGGCCAAGTCCTCCCTTAACACCCGTGTTTGCAGAGCTGCCTGGGCCCTCATACTGCAGCTACCCGGGGGAGGCCCGGGGGAGGCCTGTCCTCTAAGGAACCGTGGAGGACATGGAAGGTCGGCCGGCCTCGGGAAGCAGCATCCACTAAGAAGGAGTTAGGTAGCAGGAGACGGCACCCCATGAGCAAATCAGGTCACTTTACCCAGGTCAGGGTGCTCACCGTGGGGGGCGGTGATGAGGCTCGGAAGCTCAGTTGATCACCCAAGACACCGGTGCCATCCGCTCTGATGAGGGTCAGGTCCACTGAAGGAGGATGAATAACTTCTTCCCCAGCCCCCGAAGCAAGGGGCTCGAGTCTGCCCAGGGGCCGGAAGGGCCAGCACCATCTAGCCCTGAGTTTATGTCATCCCACAAAGACACAGCCGGAGTCTCTGCCTTTATTACCACCAGGAAGACAGAGACGCGAGGATGGGAAGCGTGCGTCACAGAGCCACAGCCAGGGCTTGAATTTAGGCCTTCTGGGCTGAAGCCACCAGTCCAACTCTGCTAGGCCTGGCCAGCCTCTCATGCCAGTGAGAGTGGAGTGGGGCCGGTCTGCAGTCCACTAGACAGCAGCGTGGGGTGGACGGCCGGTCTGCAGTCCACTGGACAGCAGCATGGGGTGGACGGCCGGTCTACAGGCCACTGGACAGCAGCGTGGGGTGGACAGCTGATCTGCAGACCACTGGACAGCAGCATGGGGTGAAGAGCCGGTCTGCAGGCCACTGGACAGCAGCGTGGGGTGGAGGGCCAGTCTGCAGGCCACTGGACAGCAGCGTGGGGTGGAGGGCCGGTCTGCAGGCCACTGGACAGCAGCGTGGGGTGGAGGGCCAGTCTGCGGCCACTGGACAGCAGCGTGGGGTCGAGGGCCAGTCTGCAGGCCACTGGACAGCAGTGTGGGGTGAAGAGCCGGTCTGCAGGCCACTGGACAGCAGCATGGGGTGGAGGGCCGGTCTGCAGGCCACTGGACAGCAGTGTGGGGTGGAGGGCCGGTCTGCAGGCCACTGGAGAGCAGTGTGGGGTGGAGGGCCGGTCTGCAGGCCACTGGACAGCAGTGTGGGGTGAAGAGCCGGTCTGCAGGCCACTGGACAGCAGCATAGGGTGGAGGGCCAGTCTGCAGGCCACTGGACAGGAGTGTGAGGTGGAGGGCTGATCTGCAGGCCACTGGACAGCAGCGTGGGGTAGAGGGCTGATCTGCAGGCCACTGGACAGCAGCGTGGGGTGGAGGGCCGGTCTGCAGGCCACTGGACAGCAGCGTGGGGTGGTGGGCCAGTCTGCAGTCCACTGGACAGCAGCGTGGGGTGGAGGGCTGGTCTGCAGGCCACTGGACAGCAGTGTGGGGTAGAGGGCCAGTCTGCAGGCCACTGGACAGCAGCGTGGGGTGGACAGCTGATCTGCAGGCCACTGGACAGCAGCGTGGGGTGGACGGCCAGTCTGCAGTCCACTGGACAGCCGCATGGGGTGGAGGGCCGGTCTGCAGGCCACTGGACAGCAGCATGGGGTGGACAGCTGATCTGCAGGCCACTGGACAGCAGCGTGGGGTGGAGGGCCAGTCTGCAGGCCACTGGACAGCAGCGTGGAGTGGAGGGCCAGTCTGCAGGCCACTGGACAGCAGTGTGGGGTGGAGGGCCAGTCTGCAGGCCACTGGACAGCAGCGTGGGGTAGACAGCTGATCTGCAGGCCACTGGACAGCAGCGTGGGGTGAAGAGCCGGTCTGCAGGCCACTGGACAGCAGCATAGGGTGGAGGGCCAGTCTGCAGGCCACTGGACAGCAGTGTGGGGTAGAGGGCCAGTCTGCAGGCCACTGGACAGCAGTGTGGGGTGGACAGCTGATCTGCAGGCCACTGGACAGCAGCGTGGGGTGGACGGCCGGTCTGCAGTCCACTGGACAGCCGCATGGGGTGGAGGGCCGGTCTGCAGGCCACTGGACAGCAGCGTGGGGTGGACAGCTGATCTGCAGGCCACTGGACAGCAGCGTGGGGTGGAGGGCCAGTCTGCAGGCCACTGGACAGCAGCGTGGAGTGGAGGGCCAGTCTGCAGGCCACTGGACAGCAGTGTGGGGTGGAGGGCCAGTCTGCAGGCCACTGGACAGCAGCGTGGGGTAGACAGCTGATCTGCAGGCCACTGGACAGCAGCGTGGGGTGAAGAGCCAGTCTGCAGGCCACTGGACAGCAGTGTGGGGTGGAGGGCCGGTCTGCAGGCCACTGGAGAGCAGCGTGGGGTGGAGGACCGGTCTGCAGGCCACTGGACAGCAGTGTGGGGTGGAGGGCCGGTCTGCAGGCCACTGGAGAGCAGTGTGGGGTGGAGGACCGGTCTGCAGGCCACTGGACAGCAGCGTGGGGTGGAGGGCCGGTCTGCAGGCCACTGGACAGCAGCGTGGGGTGGAGGGCCGGTCTGCAGGCCACTGGACAGCAGCGTGGGGTGGAGGGCTGGTCTGCAGGCCACTGGACAGCAGCGTGGGGTGGAGGGCCGGTCTGCAGGCCACTGGACAGCAGCTATGGGGTGGAGGGCCGGTCTGCAGGCCACTGTGGGGTGGAGGGCCAGTCTGCAGGCCACTGGACAGCAGTGTGGGGTGAAGAGCCGGTCTGCAGGCCACTGGACAGCAGCATAGGGTGGAGGGCCGGTCTGCAGGCCACTGGACAGCAGCGTGGGGTGGCGGGCCAGTCTGCAGGCCACTGGACAGCAGCGTGGGGTCGAGGGCCAGTCTGCAGGCCACTGGACAGCAGTGTGGGGTGAAGAGCCGGTCTGCAGGCCACTGGACAGCAGCATAGGGTGGAGGGCCAGTCTGCAGGCCACTGGACAGCAGTGTGGGGTAGAGGGCCAGTCTGCAGGCCACTGGACAGCAGTGTGGGGTGGACAGCTGATCTGCAGGCCACTGGACAGCAGCGTGGGGTGGACGGCCGGTCTGCAGTCCACTGGACAGCCGCATGGGGTGGAGGGCCGGTCTGCAGGCCACTGGACAGCAGCGTGGGGTGGACAGCTGATCTGCAGGCCACTGGACAGCAGCGTGGGGTGGAGGGCCAGTCTGCAGGCCACTGGACAGCAGCGTGGAGTGGAGGGCCAGTCTGCAGGCCACTGGACAGCAGTGTGGGGTGGAGGGCCAGTCTGCAGGCCACTGGACAGCAGCGTGGGGTAGACAGCTGATCTGCAGGCCACTGGACAGCAGCGTGGGGTGAAGAGCCAGTCTGCAGGCCACTGGACAGCAGTGTGGGGTGGAGGGCCGGTCTGCAGGCCACTGGAGAGCAGCGTGGGGTGGAGGACCGGTCTGCAGGCCACTGGACAGCAGTGTGGGGTGGAGGGCCGGTCTGCAGGCCACTGGAGAGCAGTGTGGGGTGGAGGACCGGTCTGCAGGCCACTGGACAGCAGCGTGGGGTGGAGGGCCGGTCTGCAGGCCACTGGACAGCAGCGTGGGGTGGAGGGCTGGTCTGCAGGCCACTGGACAGCAGCGTGGGGTGGAGGGCCGGTCTGCAGGCCACTGGACAGCAGCTATGGGGTGGAGGGCCGGTCTGCAGGCCACTGCCCTGGCCCCTGGTTTCTGTGTGAAGTGGGATCTTCCCACGAAGACCCGTGCTGGTGGTGGATGAGTCCTACAGCCCCTCCTGCAGACTGCAGCTCTGCCAGTCTGCCTGTCACAGCAGCCAACGCCTGTGGAGGCAGCCATGACCACAGGCTCCCAGTGGGTTGCAGCTGTGCAGCAGACCTGCCCTCTCCCTCCCTGGGCCATGGGTGAGGCCTGAGGTTTCTTGGCTCCCACACACTGTCCTCGCCTGTTGTCCCCTTGTCTGCGACCCAGGTCAGACCACTGCGTCATGGTAACACAGGCACCTCACAGAGCTATGGTGGTCCCGTCCCCCGCCGCTCAGCCCACATCCACGTTGGAGACCTCTAACCTCAGGATGCCTCCCGACTGGAAACGATGACTACCCACCGAAGACAGGGCCCACGGGCGGGTGCCTCGGTCCTTGCTGGGGCATCGTCATGAGCAGGATACTGCTTGCTCGCCTCCACCTGAGTTCTGCAGAACGCCGTGGTCATGGCCTCGGCCACACAGGCTCTGTCTGCCTTTGTGGCTCAGACGCAGCCTACGCAACGGGAGAACACTGACCATGGCCACACTCCAACGACCCTTCATTTAGAAAATATCATGAAACAGACCTGGCGCTAGGGTCTCGTGGCTGACCATCGGCATAGAGAGAAGGCTTTCTTCCCTCCCACCTAATGCACACACTTGCCTGTAGCTTCACTCTCGGGTCGCAGTGAACTTTCCACTGCTCTTTGGCTCTCTGGACGCCTACACTCTCAGTGGCCAGTTGGACCCCTATGCACCTCTGGCCAGGGTCCCAGCCGGGCTCCAAGCAAGAGCTCCCCATGGCTTCCTATCCATCAGAGAGGCCCAGCACGTCTGTGCATGGGAGCCCTGAATTCCACCAAAGAGGGTCACGCAGCCGTCCAAATACCCCTGAATCACCAGGCAGTGACAGGCTCAGAGAAGCCCTGGCTGAGCAGGTGAGAACGTATTACCGCTGGGGCCCCGAGCTGTCATCACAAGAAACTTCACAGGAAAGAGTCATAAGAGCTGAGGTGAGTGGACCACAGGCATGTTAGCAGTATGTGAGGCAGATGGTGTGTTCTCCTCAGGCAGGCACACGAGGTCGGCAGGGGGATTCCTGTGCAGCCGCTGAGCTGGAGGTCGGCAGAGGGATTCCTGTACAGCCGCTGAGCTGGGGGTCGGCAGGGGGATTCCTGTGCAGCCGCTGAGCTGGAGGTCGGCAGGAGGATTCCTGTGCAGCCACTGAGCTGAAGGTCTGCAGAGGGATTCCTGTGCAGCCACTGAGCTGGGGGTCGGCAGGGGGATTCCTGTGCAGCCGCTGAGCTGGGGGTCGGCAGGAGGATTCCTGTGCAGCCACTGAGCTGGGGGTCGGCAGGGGGATTCCTGTGCAGCCGCTGAGCTGGGGGTCGGCAGGGGGATTCCTGTGCAGCCACTGAGCTGGAGGTCGGCAGGGGGATTCCTGTGCAGCCGCTGAGCTGGAGGTCGGCAGGGGGATTCCTGTGCAGCCACTGAGCTGAAGGTCTGCAGAGGGATTCCTGTGCAGCCGCTGAGCTGGGGGTCGGCAGGAGGATTCCTGTGCAGCCGCTGAGCTGGCCTGCGGCTGCAGAGCTTTCTTACAGGACTCACTGAAGAGACACTTCATGAGCAATGATTGGTTGCTTTGTGCAATTCAGAGCCCCAAAATGGGTCAAAGTAATCATTGAAACAATCCTAAAACTTGGGAGAACCTTAGCCTCCTGCCGTCCAGGGGTCTGAACTCCAGCTCCCTCACCTGTTGCTCAAGGGTGAGCTGAAGTAGGAAGAGGCCTAGACTTGAACCAGGCTCTCCAGGATGGCCAGGGCCTGAGGGCCAGAGCTGCACCTTTGTTCCCTCCCAACTCCACGTCTGTGATTGACTTGCTTCTGTTTAGTTTTATTTTAGAACAAGAGCCTTTTGAGGTACTCCCGGGGCTCACTGGACACCCTCTCATTTTGTGGAATGGCACCACTGCCCCAGAACGGTGGATGAGCACCAGGACAAAGCCACCCCAACATCCGCCGAGAGTGCTCACTCCTCGCGTGACCTGGTTCAGGTGGACCTTCCCCCGTTCCCGCACAATGGAAGGCCTGATTCTAAGGAGCAATAGGAAACAGGCCTACCATTTCAAGCTGTCCAAGGCCCATCCTGAGCCTTTCCTGTGTCCTAAAAATATAGTCTATTCCTGCAGCAGCTATTTTGGAATGAAGCAACAAACTGTTTCCTCAAGATGAAAAGGACCGAAGCTCCATAAACAGGATCCCGGACCCAGACTCTTGTGAGAATGGAGTGCAAGGCCGCAGGCCAAACCGGACGCCCTGGCGTGGCGCTGCAGGCCAAGGGTGCACAGCAGACTGCGTCCCCAAGGAGCTGTCTTTTAGGGAACCTACATTCTTGTCTGCATTTCTACTTGGTTACTAAATACGCTCTAACCTGGAAAGGGTGGAATATGGAAAGTGCACAGAAATGGAGAAAGAACCACCTACAGGCCCCAAGCCACAGAGCAGGTTCTGAGCGCCTCTCACACACTCTGCCCTGGCCCTCGCCTCAATGAAACCCAGAGGCCTGAGAAGCCATTTCCTTTGGAACTGGGGTAGGGGTTCAAGACGTCCAACATCAGGAATAAAGTCTCTACAGAGCACAAGGCCCCGGGGCCCCAGGGCCCCAGGGCCTGTCTTGCTTCCTCCGAGGAGGGCCAGGCTTGCTCCCCACACACACATAACCTTCTCTCAGGGGCAGTGGGGCTCAGGCCTGCGGGTCATGGCCCCACAGGCAAGCTACCCCACCCAGCCTGTGTGTAGCTTGGAAGATAGAACACAGGTGCCCATGGGCCACCGGCCTGGGCAGCCAAGAGAGGCACTGAGGACAAGGACCCAGGAAGCCGTCTCCCACCAAACCAGACGCCGTGCCTCCTCTCTTACTCCGTAGAGACCAGACTCACTGGCCATGAGCCTCTGCAGACAGGACTCACTCACTCTGAGCCAGCGTAGACAAGTCACCTGCCTTGAACAGTGCAGACAAGAACCACTCGCTATGAGCAAGTGGCTCCGTGCCAAGAGGAATCCCTCCCAGACCCAGGCCATTCCTGAAGGACAGCACATGGAGAGGCGGTTGGTGGCAGCTGTGCGCTGGGACGTCCAAGCTGAAGCAAATACGGCACAGGGCTCCTGTGCGTCCTCTAGCAAGGCCGTGGAGACCTCCAGAATGTTCCATGACATCATCTCCATAATCCACAGCTAGTGGTAAAGCCAGAGCCAGGTGGAGCTGTGGGCGGGGTGGGGACCGGGCCGACGTGTGGTGTGGGACCTGCCTGCTGCTATGGTCTCCGGCTGGGCTCTGCTCGCTGCTGTGCTAGGGAGGAACTCACCGCCAGCCCTGGGGGCCTCGCAACCTAAAATCACCTGGGGTGTGGATGGAGCTTGAAGAGAGGAAATGCGTGTGGCACCGTCAGGCCATCCCAGAATGCGATTGACATAAAGCAGCGTGTGCTGATAGAACTGCTTTATCTTCGGGTTCTGTTGACACTGGCTTACCGTCTAGCCTTGCCCCAGAGAACGGGCTGGTTGCTGCCTGCATGGTTAAAAGACGAAGGTTTGGGGAGCAGCAGGAGCAGGGAGAGTTGTCTGGAGAAAGGGTGGGAGTAGCCACAGCCGTAAGCAGCTGGAGACAAGCTTGGTGGAGGAAGGAGAGAGGAGTGTGGAGGAGGACGGCTGCCGGGCCTGTGCGTTTCATGCGGCCCCGTCATGGGGGAAGGAAGGACACCACGCCCTTTCCCTCTCCTCAGGCAGGTGCAGAGTTGCTCATAGAAACAACCTGCTCTGCCCCGGGCTGAAGGCAAGGCTAGGGTCTACTTCATCTCTTCATGAGGAAGACTGTTGCACTTCCTTATTTACCTAGAACTTGTAAAAGCCTGGCCTGGCCCTCAAATTGCTCTTGGGCGTGCATGCACTAGCTTGCGCACAGACTCCAGGCACGTGACTGCAGAATTGGCCCAGGACAGAGAAGACTCTTGACATAGTTGGAACAGGGCCATCTCAGACTTCTGGCCAGCCCTGGCGCTCCCCACCCTGGGGTCCAAGCCCTTCCATGATGAGGTCCTCCAAACAAGCAACCAACAGCCTCTGGGCTCTGCATCTGCCACCAGGGCTCTCCTTCCTCTGCCTGGCCTCCAAATGCCTCCTTCGGTCCTCTGCCCCTTACGGCCTCTTCCTGCCTGCTGGTCCAAGGACAGCCGGGAGTGGACGGTGTGTGGGTCAGCCCCCAGAAGGTGCTGCCTCAAGAAGTTACCATCAGCTATCATTGCAGCAATTCAGCCTGACTCCTTAAAGATAAGCAGGCCTCAGCCTCCCCCTTGAGTGTGAGAACTTTGGTTCTGGCAGCCCAGACTCCAGAGGGCCACCGGGGAAGCCTTGTGCCACTTAGAACCCCGCGGGCCACCCATCGTGGGCCATTGATGGCGCTGCCCTTTTCTTCATTGAGAAGTCATGTACAGGGAGGGCACGTGTCGAGAAGGCCCAGCGCGGCCTCCGGGGCCAGCCACAGAAGCATGCCAAGGCAGGAGGAGTCCCTCCAGATCACTGCAGGCCCCACTGCCCCCTGCGGCCCCACTCCCCACGCCTCCGGGGAGGAAGGCATTTCCTTCCGAACTCGCTCCTCGGGGTTCATGTGGAGCCACGCTGCATTGTCTGGGTGCAGGAGCATCGTTCGGTCTGGCTGTGGGAATGGCTCTGATCACCGTGGACATGACCACGCTGCTCAGGATGGCATCGCCGCAGGCCAGCCTGGTGGCCGGGAGGACTAGCCACATTCTCTGCATTCTCTTGGTCCCTGAGGCCACCACAGTCCTGATGCTCTGCACTGGTGGCTCTTCTTGGTGCTGCTGGCATTCGGGACTTGCACTTGGGCAGAGATGGCTGCAAGCCCTGCACATGGCCTCCCCAGGCCGGCTCAGGCCAGAGGAGCCCCCACGGGCGGCCTAGGCAGGGGGTGCTTGTGAGTGCCTTGCTGTCCACCCTCCACCCATCCCGGCCACAAATCCTTCTGAGAACATCTGCGGCTTCGTGCCTAGCGGAGCATCTTTCTGTGGAGAGGCAGGGCCTTCAGTTTGCATCGCCCCTGCTCCAACGACTTCTTCTTCTTCTCAGTGCTGATTTCCTGTACCTCCTCTGATGAGGGGGCCCACCTCCACCCAGGGCCACAGCCTCTGCCCCACCATGCTCTAAGCCTCTGAGGCAGAGTCCTCTGG